TCTCTTAACTCTTAACAATTCAACTCATTTGCTCAGTGGTAGAAAACTGCCCAGACTTGTCCCTGGCAATGAAATTCTACTTTGGCCTTTCCAGTGTGTAATTTACATTATTGAATTTTTAAAAAATGTAAAACTCTTGATTCTGTACTTCAGTGACATAAATTTGTGTTGAAGTTTCTGTATTCATTGACTCATAAAACAGTATCTCAAAGAGTCAGTTAGAGTTAGATCATCTTTTTTTGTTCATCAAAGATTTGTGCCGAATCATATTTTAAGGTAAACTTATGATCGGTAAAGCTAAGGTATTTTTATTCAGATTGGAGACTAAGCATCTGTTTAATTTACTGAATGAAATGCTACGCTGTTTATGGAATTTAGCCATGTTGGATAAGGTAGAGATATATAATTTTGAGACACTTTGAAACCATTAAAGAAAGGAACTTTGGGAGAAAACGGAATCAGTTTCCTTTGGTCCCTTTACTGATCTTTTTCACATTGTTATTTTAGAAACCCAGAAGTATGCTGTATATATAGTTTGGTTGAATGTACATGTTCGGTATGCAGTAATTTTCCTCCCAACCATGAGTTGGCTTGTATGAAGTATACAGCAGAGCAGATTTACTTATGTGTACCTTTCCTCAACTGTTACATGTTCTGTGTGAATAATTATAAATTAGAGATAGTTTGAAAGGAAGAAATTTGAAGTTCGGGTAAAAAGAATAGTTGGGAACTTGGATGGCAGAACTAGGATAGAAATTTTTGAAATGCAGCCTTAGAAGAGCTCAAACAAAATGAGTCAGAGTAGATCTGAGCCTTGGAACAGACGTGTTCCTTCTGTTATGAGGTCCGGTGGGAAGGGAGAGGAAGCCAAAGTTACATTATAGGGCACCAGAGTCCAAACTGTGTACTTTGCTTTGTTCCTAGGGGCTCCAAAATGAAGTTAATAGTTAATAAGAGTAGAGGTAAAGCTATATAACTTTGTTATTAGGGAGGGTGTTTGAGAAATACTTGTTCAGTTACAGTTAATACATGGATTAAGTGAATATGATCTAAAATCTTTCTTCAAGTTTTTCTTTGTGATTTCAGGAGAATTTTTACAATGTGCATTTTATTCCTGATTGCAGAAAATAATGTGTTCTTTGTAACAATTTAGAAAGTTTTGAAAAATATTAAAGTGGAAGTAGAAATCATCTATGCTTCTAGTAATGTTACTTTTCTGGTTTTTCTTTCTACTATCTTTCTATTCATATGTATGCTTAATGACTCATTAAAAACATTTTATTTTAAAAGTAATGTCTGATTGTTGTAAACAGCAAAATTAATTAATCAGCTCATAATTATAAGAAGTAAACAGTAAAAGTTTGTCTTTCACAGTTTACTTCCAAAGGTAGGTAAAGCCTGTGTTACAGTCCTCAGAATGGGTATGGCATAATTAGTTTCATTAGTCCAGGGTTGGTGAATGTGTAGGTAATGCTCAGTTATTTTTATTATTGCTACAAACAGTGCAGCTTGAAAATTATTGTATGCATACTTTTGCTTACTTTGAAAAGGATAGGGCATTTTTACTCCAAAAATGGAGCAGTTCACATTCCTGCCAACTAAAGTTAAATGTACAACTTTGTAAATTTTGACTAATTAACTTTTTGTGAATATCCTTTTGATGTACAGCATAACTTAACAAATGGTAGTTTCTTAAAGGTCAGTTGCAGCGTAGTTAGAACTATGTGAAAAACCTTTTCTATGCTCTTACATTAAAATCCCCTGTACTTTAAATAGATCATTGACCTGTGCTTGATTTTGTAAATGGCAGTCATTGGTCACTTGGAAAATATTGGTTCATTGAATTAGGCAGATTTTCAAATATTGACAAATCTCATTACCCCAGATTAAATTCTAGTAGTTAATGTATCACGATTTCAGAATTGAGTCACAAAAATCAGAATTTTTTTTAACTATTGGGAAGCTGTTGAGGTCATCTGGCATATATAAATTTTGCAAAATTCTAACTATTACTCAAAAGCTTGAATTTTATTATTATTGTTAACATATGGGATAGTTTGTTATTTCAGTTTCCCTTAATTTAACAGGCTCTTTGTTCATTTTTGAAAATGCTTTTACTTCTTTTTGTTTTTTTGTTTTTGCTTCATTACACTTTTGAATAGAAGAGGTGAAAGTGGACATCCTTGTCTTGCTCCCAGTCATCAATGGAAAACATTCAGTCTTTAACCTTTAAATGTGATTTAGGTATGAGTTTTTCTTAGCTGCCCTTTACCAGGTTGAGCAAGTTTCCTTTCGTTACACATTTGCTGAGAGTTATGTCAGATATTTTCTCTGCATCTATTAAGATGATCTTACAATTATTTACATTTATTCTGTTATTTTGGTAGGTTATTCAGATGTTACTATGAATTACATTGGTAGATTTTTGAATGTTAACTATAACTTGGATTCCTGGGTTAGCTCATCATTGCTTATGGTGTCTTGTTCACACTTAAGCCATAATGTCCAACCCAATTCCATGAGGGTGTAGTAGTAGATTTTTAGTAAACATTTGAAAACATTTACAAAAATCAGTCATTTAATAAACCAAAATATATTGCTACCTCATTCAGAGATCATTTCACAACCACTTCAGCTATTAGGAACATAGAGGGTAACCCAGAAGGAAGTAGAAAAGCTCTTTGACAGTCCTTTCATTCAATAACCGCAGAACCTGTGTATTTTTACATTCTGTATAGAGTTCTAAGAAGCGTGATGATCTGCTTTCCTTGCACCATACTGATAAGAAGCAACAAGCTGAAGAGTAGTTATGGGAAATTGCTAAATTAAGAGCATAAAAATAAAAAGTTTCAGTGTGTGTATAAAGGGGGAAAAAGGCATTTAGAAATAATTTTAAAAGCTTAGTAGCTGAGAGTTCATGGTAAGTCTTATTCACAGTTCCAGGCTCTTAATGTGTATAGTGTAGTAAAAGCAGTATTTCATAGTTGGAATAAACTTTGGTAAGCTCCTCATCCACCATTTATGAACTTTTTTCCTGCTTTTACATCTGTAAGGGGTAGATCTTACCCATGTAAGGTAAGAGTGGCTTATAAGATAATGATTTCCAGTGGCAAGGGAAAAGTGTGTGTGTGTGTGTGTGTGTGTGTGTGTGTGTGTGTCATAGGGTGCGCTGACATATACACACGGGTGTATGAGAATATCTGTGTCTGGGGGAGGGGACCATGTATACATTTTGAACTTGTTCACCTTCCTCCTCCCCTCCTGTGATTACATTATCACCTCCCTGTCCCCAGATGTCTTGCTGCTTCACTCATAGTCATATGTGAGAAAAACTGTCCTTAGCCACTAGATAAGCAAACTGAAGTCTGCTTGAGAGGTTGAATGGTTAAGATTAGGACAAACGAAGAACCTAGTTGTCCTTCCTTCTAGGTCAGTGTTTTTTTGTTCTGCCTCTGCAATAATTAGTGTTCAGAATGATAGAGCAAACAACAAGAATGAAATTATGCTCCAAATTCTTTGTTTTAAAAAGAATGGGAAAGATTTTATCTTACTTTAGGAAGTTTTATTCTCTTCTAAAATTACTGAAAGTAAAAACAAGCATAAAAAATCATCATACCATTTGGAAGCAAAACTGAGACTTCTAAGATAGAAGAAGTTCAGTTCTTCATGGTGAATAAGTAAGTAAATGTAATGTTATAAAGATACATCAATTATCTATTATATGTTAGCTTTTTGGGAGTCTGTTCTAAGAATAAAATGCAGATGATTTCTGTGAATTGGGGCTTTTTATTTGGGTTCTATATTATTTTGTGTTATTGCCTAATGAATTATTTAATAAATAGTGTCATAGAAGAAGAGACTTTATTTTTATTTTTTTTATTAGGGTATTATTGATACACACTTTTACAAAGGTTTCACATGAAAAAACAATGTGGTTACTACATTCACCCATATTATCGAGTCCCCCTCCTTCCCCATTGCAGTCACTGTCCATCAGTGTAGTAAGATGCTGCAGAGTCACTACTTGTCTTCTCTGTGCTACACTGGAAGAGACCTTATTATCTCCCAATTTCCATGGGTCATGAGTCCAGGCATGGTTTAGTTGGGTCCTGTCAAGGATCTTGCTAGATAGATGTCAAGGTATAAGCCTGGACACAATCTTACCTGAGATTTAGAGCTCTCTCAAGCTCACTGGTATTTCCATTATTCAGTTTCTCATGACTATAGGACCAAGGCCCTCAGTTCCTTGAGCCTCCCACCCATTTCCTGGTATGTGGGCTCTTCCACAGTGTGGTAATTTGCTTCTTTAAGGCTAAAAAGAGAGCTTCTTTGCTGGTTTGAATATCTCTGACTCCTAGACCCTCTTTTTTGAAGGGCTTGCCTGATTAGGTCAAGCCAATCAGAGTAATCTCCTTTTTAATTAATTGACAGTTCACTGATAGGGGCCTTACTTACATTTGCTACATAACATAACATACATAACATAACAACATAGTCTCATGAGTCAAATCTTGGAATCTTGTGCACGCTCAGGGAGGGGATTGTATGGGGTATATATACCAGAGGATGGGAATCTGGGGGGAGATTTTAGCATCATGCCTACCACAGGGTTATTAAAAAGAGCAGTGATTCCTCTTTCAAAAAACAACGAGTCTTTCCTATGTGCCAAGTATTTTTCTAGGCTATTGAAATTTAAGGCTGAAATTCGCACTTCCTGTCTTGGCGAGGTGGTGGAGACCACCAGGGAAGCACTGTTTATAATATATTCAGTAATGCAGCTACAGTAGGGGTGTAACCAGCCTGCACTGTGAACATCAAAGAGAAGGTGTAGGGAGAGAGGAGGTTGGGTCAGGATAAGTTTATTGTGTATGGAAAAAGTGAAAGTTCTGCTGCAGTTCTTGAAACTACAAGATTTTTAAAAATTATTTGTTGATTTTCTAGAAAGAAAAATTTGGTATTTAGAAGAGGAAATGATTAAAATCCTTTTTCTTTTCCCTCAGATGGTATACCTCAAGTTTACTATTTTGGCCCTTGTGGTAAATACAATGCTATGGTGCTGGAACTGCTGGGGCCTAGTTTGGAAGACTTGTTTGACTTGTGTGACAGAACGTTTTCTCTGAAAACTGTTCTCATGATAGCTATCCAGCTGGTAAGTAAAGCAGCATGTTTTGAAGTTGTTTGACTGATTGGATTGTTTGGTTACAAGTTTATATTAAAAGGTTAAAGTTTGGTGACATTTTACCAAACATTTGACCTAATAAAAATGTTTTTGTTTTTTCATATCACTGTCTTTTTAGGATCCATATAATTTAAAATAATTGAATCCAGTGTATTTTATTTGTGTGGAAGAATCACTATCCTATTACTTTTAGATCAGACTTTTAAATCTTACTTTGAGAATTAACTTATTTCCAGTACACTTTTCATGTAAAAAAAAGAATACTTAGAAAAGAGAACCCTCAGAAACATGGGTTCTTAATCTTGGTATTAACTACTAATGACCTAGAAAAAGAAGAAACAAACTAATGAAGGAGTCTTACAAGTTATTTGAATTTCAGGGAACCTGTTAGGAAACAACTTAGAGGGTGACTTTAAGGCAGTTTTGAAATAAATGCAAGAGGTCTTAACATTATTTTTATCCATTGACTCATTAATTCCACTTCTACACATTTTCCCCTTGGAGATATGCAAATGTATTTAAAATTTTTTGGGTGCAGATGTTTATAACAACCCGAATGTGCAGAAATAACAGGTTGGCTGAATAAATTATTACTAACTGTAAAGTAATATGCAGCCATTAAAAAGTGTATATTAAAAGAATGTTTCATGACCTGGAAAATGCTCATAATATATCACTAGTTAAAGTATAGGTCATAGAATATTATAAATTATGTGATCCAAAATGTGTTCACAAACAAAAATGGCCTTAGTGACTCCACGTTTACATTGCATTATCAACCATGATTGTTATTAAATGAAGCAATTTTATTTTCTTAATTTATATTGTTTTATTTTGTGACAGTTTGTACAATGAACATATTTGAGAATGTGTAAAACAAGTAATAAAAATGTGCTATATTATTAGTTTATTCCAAAATTTTTTAGTTTTAAGACCTTTTAAAATATTTAATACCAAAGGAAAAAAATAAAGGAAACGAATTTTTTAAAAAAAGAAAAAGGAAGACATCCTGAAGAGTATGAGTTGTTTTTATTTTATAATTTAGACTCTAAGTTTCTTTACTGTAAGTGTAAAAGTCTGATTATTGAACTGATAAAAAGAAATTACAACTTAATGAATGCCTGTTTATGCTTTTTACAGTTCAAGATTTTGTATCAAAAACCCTTTTGATTTTATGAGGTAGCATAGCATCATTTAAAGTACTGATTGAATCAAATTTACTGATATGAAAATAATTCATAAAACTCACTTTCATTTATCAGTGACCGTAATAGTCTAATAAAATATTTTTAATCATTACTGGATATGAGAAACTACGTCTGGTATCATGTTACTTTAAAGGGTTGAAACAACTTCTGTATTTTTTATTTTATGTTGTTTTCATTGTGAAAGTTCTGTCTTGCCTCTATCATGCCTTTTTATGTTAGTCAAAGCATAAAATAAAATTTATCTTCTTTTTTTTTTTAATCAAGATTTCTCGCATGGAATATGTTCATTCAAAGAACTTGATATACAGAGATGTAAAACCTGAGAACTTCTTAATAGGACGACCAGGAACTAAAACCCAGCAAGTTATTCACATTATAGATTTTGGTTTGGCAAAGGAATATATTGATCCAGAGACAAAGAAACACATACCATACAGAGAACACAAGAGCCTTACAGGAACAGCTAGATACATGAGCATAAACACACATTTAGGAAAAGGTATGTGTATCTTTTGTAAGTACGGACATTTGAATTTAGTAATGTGCTAACAGTGTGAGTTTTTATTTGTTATTTTTCAGTTTTTGCAGGTTACAATTGCTTCTATTATAATTTTTATTTATCACATCAGCTAGAGCTTACTTTCATTTATGTTTAATTTTATTTTTCTAAAGTAAGTTGCTCTAGAGTAAATGAATGACATTTTCTTTCATTCACGGTGTCTTTTTTTTTTTAGTATGATATCTTGAGATGTTCAACTTTGATAAAGTTAGGGTGATACATTTGATTATTTTTATTAAAGAATATGAGAGAATACTTAACCTTAACTGAATTTAGTGTGTACAAAGATTTCTGACTCTGACTAGAGCTCTCTCATACAGCTAGCCAGGAAGATAGCAACCTGCCTAGTACAGTTGATACTGAGAGTACATACCTTAGATGTACTGTTTACTCTATGCTAACTATATGACTTTGGGAAAATAACTTAAACATTTTAAAGGGATTCCTTATTTGCAAAAAAGTAAAGTAATATCAACTTCATAGGGTTTCTTACAGCTTTTATTTTTCCCTGGTCCAGGATTCAATCCAGGATTTAATTGTCATTCTCTCTCTGGTCTCTCTGCATCTGGAACAGTTCCTTGCCTTTCTTTAAAGTACAGGTTGTTTCATACAGTGTCCTCCTTTGGGGTCTGTGTGGTCCTTCTTCACAATTTATCTGGGTATGCATTTTCAGCACAGATTCCATAGAAGTGATGTGTTCTCAGTGCATGTCAGGAGGCCCATAATGTCTTAGTTCCAAGTAGCTTTGGTCACTTGCTTAGAGGACTGTCTGCTAAGTTTCTCCCCTTAAAAGTTTCTTATTTTCCCTTTGTACTTAAAAAGTGTTCTGTAAGTGGATCTTTGAGATTATGTAAATACATTGTTCCTGATCAAAGTTTCATGCACTAGATTTAGCATCCATTTATGGTTTTGTCAATGCCTCATTCCTTATGTATTCCTTAGTTGATATTCTCATGTAAGCAGAAGCTTTCCCTTCTTTCCCCATATATTCACTTATATCAGTGTGGAATCATGGATTCTTATCTTGAGTTTAGTATAGTGATTACTATCATTATTTATTTTGATGCTAAAATTGTCCCAGATTTGGCCACTGGTTACTTGTTAAGCTGTCCTTTTGGCATGTTCTTATGGCTTTTTGATAACTACTTTCTTGGTGCAACAAGTTGTTCCAGGCCTGTCTTGTAATTTCTTTGCTCTAGTTCAGAAACAGACATTTCTCCGAGAAGGCCTGGGTCCTTTTATTTGGTAATGGTATGTACTTCCAGGCCCTTTCAGCTGCAAAACTAGGAAGTGTGTGTATGTGTGTGTGTGGGAGAGAGAGAGAGAGAGAGAGAATAAACACATACAAATTCACTGTGTGTACACAAACACACACACACATGTACATACATACAAATATACCTATGCATGTATATGCATATATGAACATATGTTAATATCTGTTAAAAGTTATGAGTTTATACTCTTATTTCTAATTTCAGCCCCAAACCACAAAGTAGTATCTTCTCTTTCCATGTTTGTAATTCTCTTTCCTTTTCTATTCTTTGCCAACAGAAAGAAATCTGGGTACTACTACACTAGTATATTTACTCATTTTTAGCCTGGGATACTCAGAATGTCATTTCAGAATTGGTGACTGATAACGCTTTGTGAAGCGAGCTTAGAATTGCAGCACTTGTTTATTGAATAATTATTTTTCAGAGTGAAGTAAGATTTACATTTGCTAAAGTATACTTTATTTGAATGTATAATTTATGATTATTGACAGATGTTCACACCTGTGTAACCCATAGATAGCCCTACCAAGATTTAGAACACTATCATCATCCCTTAAGACTTTCTTCTTATTCTTTCTCAGTCAATCCCCACCTCTCCAAAAGCAGCCATTGATCTGATTTCTATCACCATAGATTAGTTTTGCTGAATCTATTACTTCATATAAATAAAATCATTTGACTTCTTTTGCTTAATATATATGAGATTCATTCATGATGTTGCAAGTACCAGTAATTTGTTCCTTTTAAAGACTATGTAGTATTCCATTGCATAAATCACAAATCGTTTATCCATTCTCATGTTCATGAACATTTTGATTATTACCAGGTTTTTACTATTAATAAAACTGCTATGTCATTCTTGCAAAGTTTTTAGTGGGCTTAATTTTCAGTTCTTTTGGGTATATACCTAAGATTGGAGTTGTTGGGTCATGGTGACTAATGATTTTCACTGTTTCATGTGCTTATTGACCATTTGTATATCTTCTTGATGTGTGCGTCAATGCATTATTGATTTGTAGGGATTCTTTATATATTCTAGATGTTGCTAAATACATCCTCTGTGAATATTTTCTAGTCTGTAGCTTGCTTAGCCATTTTCTTAATGGTATCAATTGATGAACAAAAGTTGTAAATATTTATAAAGTCTAATTATTGATTTTTTCTTTTATTATTAATACTTTTGAAATCCTAAGAAATATTTACCCCCGTGTGATGAAGACATTTTGTATTTTCTTCTACCATGTAGAATTAATTTTTGTATGGTGTGACATAGGGGTTGAGGTTCTCTTTATGATATATTCTTTTCCATTGAATTATTTTTGTGCCTTTCTAAAATATCAGTTCTAGGTTATGTTTACATTGGTTTATACTTAAGTCTTAAGCTGTGGCCAGTTTTCATGTCAGAGGTAATTGAACTTAATTTTCTGCTTATAGATTGTGTCCCTGACATCTCACTCACAAGGGAGAACAGACAGGAGTGTAAACCAATCGGTACTTATCCATCATCCACTGCTCAAGTGTACCTTACAGTGTGCATAGTTTGTACAGGACCTTAGAAGTCATCTGATCCAACCTCCCATTCCTGGTTTTAGCTTCTTATCTAACCATTCTGTCCAGACTTACTAAATTCTGCATGTCTCTGCTTCTGTCTCTCATTCATAAGTAAGTAGCACTTGGTATAATCCCTGATAGTTGACCTGATGGTAGGCTCATGGAAGTTTTTCTTTTTAGATGTCTGAAATATGCAAATTTACCTTTCTTTAAGAAAAGTAAGCTTCAGACATCTTAAATTATAAAGCACAAATTGTATACCAGTAGTACTTGAGGGAAGTGACTTTCAATAGCAAACTTTTCTGATAGATGTGAAATACGACTGGGTAGACATACAACTTTCAGGATTGTGCCTCCTGTTAAAACCAGACACACCTGTATTTACAAGAACAGTGTGTGTGAGAAATTTTCATTTCATGGTAGTTATTAACAGACTATTTTATAACTAACAAAGGTCACAACCTTTTATTGTGAGACATGAAATCACAACTTCCTTGTGGCCTAGTGTTCTTTATCTAAACAATGGTAAATGAAACAGCATTCTATTTGTAGAAACTGCAAAGTGAGTCTGATATGTTTGTCCTTGTTAGGAAAAGCCTTCAGAGTTTGGGAAATGGCATTTAACTTGCAGTAATCTCTTTTTTACTCTTCTTTCAGGAAGAAAACAAAAAATTTTTTCTTTGACCAGCATTGCAAAGAACAATAGCTTTATTCCTTACTTTCTCCCATTTATAAAAGCCCTGCTTCTTAGTTTTGATGTAGAACTTGGGAGTAGATGGGTAATATTAACAGAGAGAAAAATGCATTTGTCAAGAGTATTTGAGTTCCTGTTTTTAAAAAAACTAAGGATAAGAACTAACATGAATTTGAGAGTTAAAGCATTCTATAAGTTTGAGGTGGCTGTGAACATGGAATATTTAGTGGTGTTTTGAGTTTAGAGCACTTGGCTTTATGAGTAGTCAGGAAGAGATCACAAAAAGGAAAAGGAACAGTGAAAGCACGACCTTTTTAGTAGTGATTTTAATTTGTGTATATATAACTTCCTCCCTCCCTTCTTTGCTTGGACCTTGGCAGTTACTTTTAAAGCCGCCTTACTCATTATTCATTTATTCTTGTGCATTCAAAAATCTATTCACATGAACCTTCAAAATAGAGAATTTGTTCAGAGGAACATTTGTACAGGTTTATAAATATTTTCCTTGTGGAGAGTCACACTGTATCATATTTAAGAAGGAAAAAGTTGTTCCTAAAATAATAATATGGAAGAGTAGTATAACATCACATTGTAGAATTTAGCATCTTTCATCCTCTGGTATGTACCTGTTGATCTTAATTAGGTGATTTATGTTCACAAGGCAGACGTAGTGATTCATTTGTACACCTTTCTCATATCTCATCACTGTTCAAGATGCAATCTCAATTAGGCTGTGTGTGACAGAGATAAATTTCTTTGGTCTGCTTTAATTTGGAAACTTTCTTTAGTATTGTCATGTTGAATTGTTATTTAAGTGTCTGATCAAGTATCTTTTTGAAAACTTTTTTTGTCAACTACTTTGAACCTCACTGTATAATCTTCCTTTGCATCACTTTGTTTGCTTTCATGTTTTCTCCTGTTGAAATCATTTGAAACTAAGTAAATACTGTATATTTCTCTTTAGTAAGTAGTTTGAAATTGTCTTATAATTATTGAGAATTTACAAATAAAGAGACTAGGATTTGAGGAATAGCCAGTTGCTTTGTAAGTTTAAAAGAAAAATCTATGTTCCTTGGAAGAATGATATTTCAAGCCTCTAAGTGGTAAGCTTTCTGAATAGCGGAGAAGGAATCACGGGATTATGGTGTTACAAAAATGCCTCCTTTCTGTGCTGTCATTCTGTGATGTGATTCATATAATATAATTTCAAGGTTAACTGCCCAAATTTCTGAGGCCTGCTCTCTTTAAGCCTCCCAAACAGCTTTTTAAAGTTTAAAATCATCTATTTATATATCATAATTACACTTTAACATTTAAAAAATGGATCACATAATTCTTTGCTTTCTTCAAGTATGATGAACGTAATTGATATTTTCTTGATGTTTTAGGTCATAATTTTTGTATGATTACTGCTATAT